TAGTCAATCTAAGTTATCCATGAAGAAACTTCCTTCATAACTGAATTGTTCATATGCTCCTCTGTCATTTGCCGATGCAGTTAGCATGACAATGACAAGAGGGTGGCGTGGAGAGAATAACCCGTGATAAAACTGTTGTGCCCACGCGTATTAATTAGGACTGTACCAAAGTCACTTGAGGGGAGAGTGTGCCCGCATCGCCTGGTTATTGAGCACTCATTCCCTTTATAATAAGGGTTCTCTTGCTTCTACATTGACCTAAATGATTATGAATACCATCCTCAATTACATGAACACCTGCATATGTGACAGAGGATTTAATATATCAGGACAACCAAACTGCCTTTATTACTCATCAAACCTCCTCAAAGACTGTAGATAGCAGTTGGTAGAGTGAACCATCAGCCAACTCAGAGAATTGAAGCGCTAGAAACATTACAAAACATTCTTGAGTTTTTCTTGCGTAATAACTATTGCCCTGGTCATACTATCCATCAACCATCACAAGGCAATAATTGGTGGATAATACCTTCAATCTGAACCTGGTAAAAACATATTTGCTGGACAAAATACCCATATAGCAGTTAACCAGTACTGGGCTCAACTTTAGTAACAGAGGCTGTGCTTCTTAAATTCTAAGAAAAACTTTAGTAACAGAGGCTAATCTTTAGTACAAAATACCAACATAGCAATTAACCATCATCTTCAAGTCCTACAAAAGCTCCTCAAGTTTCCAAGAAAGAACCACAAGTACCCTTCACTGGCTTTTAACAATTCACGGTTCGTATAAGAGAATGTTATATCCGTAAGTACTGACACTATACACCAATTACAAACATTGAACTTTCTTTGATATGCTTTCGCTCCTCCCAGTGTGCTCTATCGTCTTCCATTTGCTCTAATCTTCCATTTGACCTGTATGTTAAATGAATAGTTTAGCACAGAATACAAATCAAAACCAACAATGTTATCTTTGAGCTCTCACTTCATTATTAAGGACATAAAGATAGAGATGTCTCTAAGTCCTGATTGAACTACTTAGTTTATAGATTATCACTTCTAAATGGGGCTTAAAGTAATAGCCATTTGGCTCCATTCCAAGTGATACCGGATAACTAAGACGAACAAATAGGTTTTGCATCCAAGTAGCTGACTTTACTATCAACTATCATGTGAAGTTTTAAACCTCTCTGAGATATACCCTCAGAAATGGAGCTTTGTTAATCTACCTCAAAGTATAATGTCATGCAAACACGAAATAAATGCGTGACTGAACATATCGGAAATGAAGACTAGCCTACAAGTATCCCATGTTAGGAGAGGTACCTTAACCAAGATCATGCACAAGAGATGCTTAAAGAGATCCACTCCACGCCCTTTCTCCAAACGATCCAGTTGTGGAACTCGCAAATGGAAGTTGAAGCAGATCGCATGTCCATTGTACATGTGCTGAGCTTGAAAAAAGCCAGGGACAAGCTGATGTAGACGATCCTGTTTGCTAGTAAAGAGCAAGAGTAGCATTGCTGATGACAAGGATCATTTTATTGCAAAGACCGTAAATCTCAACAAAATTGTTATTCTCGAGATCAACCCGAAACAGCTAAAAACAGCTGATTGACTGGGGGTCTGCACTGTTCTTGTGAAGGATAGCAGCATGCACAAGCTTCGTGCCAAGTACCAATGTGCTTCCACTCTCTGTGTTTTCTTTCCCTTTTGCGTACCACTGCAGGTTAACACGCTTCACGATGCAAAGTGAGAAGGAAGTTCTGTACACAAACAGAAACATATCGTGGAAAGCAGCTGGGCTAGATATAGCTCCAAACACTGGTGATTGAATTCTAGGTATTTTTGAGAGTTTTAACTCTTTCGTCAATGAGTGCATGATGTAAATACGAGTCATCCTTTCCAAATTCCGCTTCTTAGATAAAATGTTAGGAAGAAACTTTAACCCACACCTCCTTTCCATCAGGACTAAGCATCTCGATGAATACGACAGTGTATAGCGGTCCACCAAGACGTCCCCATTGCAGTAGCATAACTCTCGAAAAGCACCAAGACACAGTCTTTCAGGATGATCTCCGTTCATTTGATACAACCAAGGTATTGGGGTGACTTCAGCAGTAGGAACGATACGTATATTCTGTAATGGGGTAAACCGCTTGGCAACACATTAAAATCGTACGTACGAAGCATGAGACAGATACCTCAAAGTCCGCACCAAAATATCAAATGCCAATTCACGACTTCCGCCCCTTTCACCATTTGAACCCTCTCTTCCACCACTTTCGTCATCTGAACCCTCTCTTGTCCTTAATGTAAGGTACATCTGGATGCTAGGTGGATGATGACTGTTGAGAACAAACTCAAGCTTAAAATCCATATAGATTGTTCCTGTCGAAAGAAATAATTCCTAATTATTCATCTTAGTTGAATCCAAGTTGCCCAAAACTTTCCTACTCAGTGCAATCTAAGCTCTACATTGTAATTAAGTGTCAGTATTGTCCTATTTGCATAGAGAAACTAACAAAAGCAAGAAATAATCGAGTCACGTTAACGTGAGGCACCCAAGTGACAATAGGAAATAGGGTAGTGCCGAAACTCATTTACTACGTGGCTACGAGCAATAATTCGATAGATACACAGTAGGATATCATCTAGTGCAAACAAAAACTTAGTGACTGAGTTAATATTGCGATGACCAATCATGTCATTTAATTTTAGGCCCTAAGATAAAACTTTAATTAACCTTTAAAAATCATAGCTACTCAGTGCAATATAAGCTTCAGATTGTGCATATAAAAGCTATATCATCAGAATGCATGAAACAGAACAACAATACTGTAAATAAAGACAAACAGAGTGCCATGCTACCACTATATGTTGTGATGAAAGATAATTATGTGGTGTTATCATATTGTGTTGCGGAACATCACTAACTAGAATAATATACAATAAATAGGAAATTAGAAAATATATTAAGCGAGTAGGCATTATGGGAGCAGATATATAAAACAATAAAGGTACATGAGAGCATGTCCCATTCATAATCAACATCATATTGAACTTTATAACAGGGAAATGGTAACACTCAACAAGTCCATAACAATCAAGAAGCCATAATTTGTATTTAAAACACAATCATATTTTTCATCAAACCCTAGAAATGAAAAAGGTGGAAAATTACTGAATAAACACTTGTAAAACCTAATTAAACATTGGAAAACTAAGAAATTCTAGCAGATTTCTATTATATCTTTCACATACATAAACTTTTACAAGGCAAGAATGAGAATATACAATCACATTTTGCATCAAATCCAGAAAGTGAGATAGAGGGAATATCACCGAATAAACATTTCCAAATCTAATTAAACACTGAAAAACTAAGAAATTCCAGCAGATTTCTATTACATCTTTCATATACATAAACTTATGTAGGGACAGAATGAGAACATACAATCATATTTTGCATCAAACCCTGGAAATGAGATAGAGGGAATATCATCGAATCAACATTTCTAAACCAAATTAAACACTGGAAAATTAAGAAACTCGATCAGATTTCGATTACATATTTCATATACATAAACTTTTGTAGGGCAAGAATGAGAACATATAATCACATTTTGCATCAAACCCTGGAAATAAGATAAGGAGAATATCACCGAATAAACATCTCTAAACCTAATTAAACACTAGAAATCTAATAAATTCCAGCAGATTTTTATTATATCTTACATATACATGAACTTTTGCAGGACAAAAATGAGAACATACAATCACATTTTACATCAAACCCTGAAAATGAGATAGGGAGAAAATCACCGAATAAACATTTCTAACCTAATTAAACACTAAAAAACTAAGAAATTCCAGTAGATTTCTATCATATCTTACATATAAATGAACTTTGCAGAGCAAGAATGAGAACATACAATCACATTTTGCATCAAAATCTGGAAATGATATAAGGAGAATATAACTGAATAAACATTTCTAAACCTAATTAAACACTGGGAAACTAAGAAATTCCAGCAAATATCTATTACATCTTTCATATACATAAACTTTTGATGGGCAATAATGAGAACATACAATCACATTTAACATCAAACCCTAGAAATGAAATTCACCGAATAAACATCTCTAAACCTAATTCGAAACGTATCAATCACATTTTACAACGTCAAATTCCACAAGAAAATCAATCTTACTACCCACTTTTGTTCTTCTCTCTTGCCTTCTCCTCTCTCTCTCTCTCTCTCTCTCTCTCTCTCTCTCTCTCTCTCTCTCTCTCCCCCTCTCTCACGCACGTGTCTTCTTTGTTCTTGAATTTTGATTGAAGAGGGAGAGTGGGGGTTTTGTAGCCTTTAGGCCGAGATGAAGTATTTATTAAACCCATAACATCTATTTACGATCATGCCCATCTTGTTCTGAAAATAGACTTTAGGCGAGATTTTGATACTCTAGTCTATAGAGAGTTGTCCACGTCCATGTCCAGGACCTCCACGGAAAGTGCACCATCCTTAAGACCAACAAGGATATATAAGACATCTCATTGAGTAAAAACAATAAAACCTTCTACTATAGAACAACAAGTTGGTGATTTGGCCAGCTTCGTGCCAAGTGCTACTGTGCTTCCACTCACTGTGTTTTCTTTCCCTTTTGCCT